AAAAATTGCAGCCTTCCATTGTCTCTGGTAGGATTTGTGTTTTGGGTCAAGTCTATACTGCATTAATGGGAATAGTCTCTCCCAAGGTTGGCCCCTCTCACTGTGTCTCATGTTTATCCTGTATATTCTCAGGAATGTGAGGGGCTGACACCCTGTGTGTATATAGGATAGCCTATGTGAACATATGGTAGCCCATGACAACATATCACACTTTGAAGTTGAAAGCAATGGACTATATTGTCATAGGCTTTCAGTGAATCCATTGCATGCCTTGGGGGGTTTTCCCCTGACTCCTCCGCCCTGTTGGGTCTTAATGTGCAGGCAACCATAGAACTCAAACTAAAAGGAAGAAGCTTGCAACAAGAGCCCAGAACTAGACATGGGAGAAGGCAGCAGAAAAGGATGAATGCTAGTGATGAGTATTTTGACCAAATGCTCTGAAAACAGTGAGAGGGTAGCCAACAGCTAGCTCACATCCAGCCAGCAGACCAAACCTGAACAAAATGGGCCTGAACAACAGAAAGAACTCACTGTTACTACTGAAGGAGCCAGTGCAAACAGGTGGGCACAAAGGGCAAGGTGACAGTTCACCTGATCGTCCTTGGGCCTGTGTTTGACTTTGCGGTGCAATACAACACAGCTCTTGGCTCAAGTAAAATAAGATAGTTTATTCTGAGCCAGACATAAGTGACTGTGCCCCTAGTAAAATGTGCCAACATAGACTTAGTCACATGAACTTCTTACAGCCATGGAAAGGAGTCATCGAGTGTTTGCCAGATCCATCAAGAACAGTGGCAGTAGGTCTCTGCACAGCAGGTAATGCTGATGTAGATTTCAGGTGCTTCATGATGGTATGCTAGCTTTGGTGTCAGTGAAAGCTAGTGGTCTGCTAACACATTCCAAAGGTTTCCCCTGCGAGTTGACAGGGTATTTGGCTAGACACAGAGACAGGCGATGAATGACTATAGAGGAAGCAAAAGTTGCACAAGATAATTTTTGCTGTGGATCTACATTTCAGCTCTCCATAGTCAGGAAATTCTGGTCAGCCAGTCAGCCCTGTAAAATCTTTAATATGGGTGTAGTCGTTTTTTGTTTGTTTGTTTTTTGTGTTTTGTTTTTCTCCCAGAGGACTTCAGTTCATGGTATTTAATGCCTCTGTTAGAGCTAAGATGGAGAAACATGCTGTGCATTGTTTTTATAGCTCCATAGTGCTTGTGTACATGAGCCAACTTTGTTTAACCAGCTCTTTGTTGATGAACCCTTTGTATTATTTTTGAGTCTTGCTACTACAAATGGTTTTGACTGCCTTGTACGTCCATCTTTCCCCATTTTTCCTAATATACTTTTGGGGCAAATTCCTACAAGAGGGCTTTCACAGAGAAGATGCTGTGTGCAGACTGTCACTGGTGCTATGTGGTGGACTCCCACAGCAGTGTCAGTGGAGCACATGCTCATGCTCTGGGGCTTTCACTAGTTTAGGGAAGAGAGAAATCTCATTGCAGTTTCAACTGTAGTTTTTAGGAGAGAAATTGAGCTTCTTTTTACATGTTTGAGGGCCGTTTGCATTTCTTTTTTATTTTTTAAATAGCTTTTTCTTGTGAGTCTTCTAGATGAATAGACTAGCTCTTAGAAGACCTTAGGGAACAGTAAACAGGAGCTGGTGTTAGAACGGTGTTCAGCATTCCAAGAGTCGGGCTCCCTTCTTACGGTCATCTGGAGCTTCAGAAGATGCTGTGCTGAGTTTCGGAAGATGCATGCTTTCCTCAATTCCTCCCCTTCCTCTACCTTGGCTATCCTGCTCTCCATGCTCCATGAGAGACACCAACCAGAGCATGGAGCCAGGTTCTAAATCCAGGCGTCTTTAAACTGTTTAAACCATGGGCCAGAGAGCTCTCATTGGCTTTAGACCCATGTTTACCTCTGTGTCGCTGGCACAGGGCCAGGAAGACCAGTGACGTTCTGTTGTGGTTCCTAGTTAGCAGTTGCCCCGAGATGCCAAAAGCACAGGTCTGCCGCTGAAGTCCTGGGACACTCCTGCTGCCACCCGTAACTGTGACCTGTTTTTTAAAAAAGGAGGAGGGGTACTGGCTTTGTGTTCATCTGCTGCTCTTAGCATTACCACCCAGATCTCTTCCCACCTGTATATATGTTAAGGGCCATTTGTGTTTCTTTTTTATTTTTTAAATAGCTTTCTTTTATGAGTCTATCCAGTTTATTCTATTAGTAAAGCAGAAGCCAAGCTGGTAAAGGGAGTTTGAGAGCTACAGTGGGGTTCAGACAGGGGCTAGTCAAGGAGCTGAAAACAGATGAGTGGGACAGAGGCCAGACAACACCCTCCTGCTGCAAGCAGCCTTCCATCTAACTAAAGGTGCATGGTAGGGTACCTTGACAAGGGTGGAAATTTGAGGGCTGGGGGACAGCAAACAGACTGCAAAAGGGTAGGTGTTGAGTTGAGATGTGAGAGGCTCTCAACACATTTTCTTCCCTGGTAAGATAATGGCTTTGTGAACTGAATAAATACATTTTGTTGAGCATAACTTGCTAATTTATCTAGCAACAAAAATAGGTAACATGTATCTGCCTCCAAGGAGCTAAGTGCAGGAAATAGAGTAGGTGGACTGTGCCTATGACTCATTTAAAGGTACTCTGAGATAACTGTATGTTTGAAATGCGTAAATTTTCAGGAAAAGCAAACAGTTGGAAATCAGGCCACAAATGGTCTTTGTGTCCTTTAAACTAGGAATGCATCATAACTCATGTGCTTCATAACTTTGTTTAGAAACAGAGTTGGCCTTAGGGAAGCTCATTAGCATATGAAGATGTCAGTGTGGCTAGGAGCTGCCATCATGCTTCTCAAGGTGCCCTGAGGGCTTTAATGAAGGTAGTTTCCTAGGATGGTGCCAGTAAGTTTCCACTATGATGTACCAAGAGGCTGTTCCTTCCCAGACCAATTTCTCAAACTAAATAGGAAGGCTGTTTCTGTTAGTAAAACTTAACTGTTGAGCTATGTTAACCACTTGGCATAAGTAGACACTAAGAGTCTGCAAAGTGTATTTTAGGCACTCAGGAGAGGAGATACACTCAGGAGGTGTAGTTTCTGCCTAGGAGGCTCATGTGTGCTAATAGAGGAAAATGGCTTAAACAGAGGACCATCAGCAGCACACTGAAGGAAGTTGTGTGTTACGAGCAGTTTTCCTGCCAGCCTGGTCCCAGAGCTGCATCAGCCCCAAATAACACACAGAGATGCTGTATTAGATATAAAGCTGTTGGCCTGTTACTAGTGTTTCTTATTGGTTAGCTCTGTCTTAAATATTAACCCGTTTCTATTAATCTAAGTGTTTCCACATGGTCTTACCTTACTGGAGAGAGGGTCTGGACCTCTTCTCTCAAGTCTCTACATTTTGAATCTCCACTACTACATCACCCAGAATCCTCCTCATCTCCTAGTCCCTCCTATCTTGCCTTCCTATTTGCAAACAGTGTTTTATTTATTAACCAATAAGAGAAACATTCACAGAATGACATCTCCCATCAGTTGTTTAGTGGGAGGTGTCAGCAGGTGGAATAGGAACACTGAACTGAAGAGGAAACCCAGCCTGGACTGAGGTGGTAGCAATAGGAGAGGGGCAGAACATGGACCAGGCTAGACCTTGTGGAGTAGGAGGGAAGGAAAAAGCTCAGGAGAATCAATTGCCAGTGCTCACTCAGCATTTGACTCACTTCTCAGGCAGAGCTGCTCTCAGTGGGCCACCTTATGCCCTGTGTATAACCACTTCATATGGAAGTGGTTATATACCAGAATGAAAGAAAGTCATAAGTCAAAGCATTTGTCAGATCTGCTGGTGAGAACATGATGTTACAGCAAAGTAGGAGAAACTGCCGTAGATTGCAGGTGCAGCCTGGTCATGTTCTTAGCTTTGGGGAAGCTGAAAGCTCATGGTCTGCTAAGTTAACACATTCCAAAGATTGAAATGTTGTTAGTTTAGACACTGAAGTAAGAAAAGAAAATGAATAAATGAGGACTGTCACCCTTGTGTTTAAAGTTAGGGCTACATACTAATGGATGCATGCTGCTGATGCAAGAGTAGACATGTAGGAAGGAAAAGCAGTCTTATGGGCATGAGAGGGGAGAGAGGAAAAGGAACATACATGGTAAAAATAAAGAACCTGGAGAGGAGCCCACACATGTACCGACAGTTGATTTTTTTTACCTCTGTGCTGAAGGTGGAGGTCCTGCCTGGTTCCACAGCCGCTTTGCCCCAAAATAAATACACGGATGCTATGTTAATTATAAAACTGTTGGCTGATGGCTAGGGCTGCTTATTTGCTAGCTTTGTCTTAATTATTAACCCATTTTTATTAGTCTAAGTATTTCCACATGGTCTTATCTTACCAGAGAAGGGTTTGGACCTCTTAATCCTTCCTCAGCTCCATGGCATCTCCTCTTGGTACCTCTTTGCCTCTCTCCCCAGCATTCACCTCATCTCCTCACCCCACCTGTCTTCCTGTCTCTACTGGCCAGTGTTTTATTCATCAACCAATAAGAGAAACATATACAGAAGGACATCCCCCATCACTGTGCCAAGTGTATGCTATATGGAAAGGAGTGCTCTCTTACATATATTGCTGCAAGCTTGTTCTACCTTTGGTTTTATGATAGGAGAGGACTTATGGGGTTGCTGAAATTCTCTTTTCCTTTTATTTGTGTCATTATTTTTGACATGGGTGTTTGGGTGATGAAGTAGAATAACATGTTTAAAGAAGGTTTGATAACAGTAAGATGGTCATTATCACTCTTTGGGTGCCCTGTTGTTTTACATTTGAAGTGACTTTGGTTTATTGACCACCATGCCAAGAATATGGAAAATGGAAAGAAGAGTCTGTTCAGTAAACGGGGGTGGGAAAACTGGATATCTGCATGATAAGAATGAAAGTGAGCTTCTTCCCACGTCTCGGGCTCTCGGCGCAGGTGTGTCAGCCTCGTCCCAACTGATGGCACCAAACATGGGGGCCCTGGCCGCCAGGTGCTGCGTCGAGTGGCTCCTGGGCCTCTACTTTGTCTCTCACATCCCCATCACGCTGTTCATTGAACTGCAGGTGGTGTTGCCGCCAGAACTGTACCCGCAGGAGTTCAAGCAGCCTGTTGCGGTGGTACTCGAAGGATTTCAAAGACCCTCTGATGCAGGACCCCCCAGTGTGGTTCAAGTCCTTCCTGTTTTGTGAACTTCTGTTCCAGCTGCCTTTCTTTCCTGTTGCTGCATATGCCTTCTTCAAAGGAAATTGCCGGTGGATCCGAATCCCTGCAATCATCTATGCAGTTCACACCATAAAAACTTTAATTCCAATCCTCTATACATTTCTACTTGAGGATTTCTCCAAAGCTGTTACTTTCAAAGGACTTAGACCCGAGAATTTCCGAGAACGACTGACTCTCACAGGTGTCTATGCCCCTTACTTAATAATCCCCCTTATACTCCTCCTGTTCATGTTGCGGAACCCTTACTATAAGTATGAGGAGAAAAGAAAGAAAAAATAGGGGCCAGCCACTAGCCCGATGGGGGAAGATCCCATAGTACAGTTGCCTTTTGGACAATACTAGAAAAATTGCTCTGAACCCACGTCTCAGCAGCATTTGAAACATACCAACAGCAGTGCACAAGAACAAGATGGCGGCAAGACATGCCAAGCCCTCACCTTCCAAGGGCTGAACAGGCCATCAGCAGGGGTGGGGACCAGCAAGGTGGTGCCACAGTTCTACTATAGCATTCCTAAAAATGGCCAGACAAAAAAAGCTGGTCAGCTAGAACACACACCTGACTAACTCCTAACTCAATCTCTGTGATAACTAGTCAATAAATTAGTGGGTGTTTCTGGCCACTTTAATATCACAAATTTTATCTCTCTAAACACCCATGAAAAACTACCATGGTTTCCTGCCTATACCTCTACCTCTGGAAGAAAAATATTGTAGCCTCACAAGCCTAAGCCAGAATGGGCTGCAGTTGGAAGATAACCATTTACAGTTCACCCTATCTTCCAGTTACGCTACTAGTACTTGTACTTCCCAACTCTGGCGTCTCATGACACTGAGCTCCCTACTAGACAGCTTTGTCCTCCCTCTCTGCTCCTTCCCATCCTGTTCAGAGTGGGGTAATAGTGTGACTGTTGCAGTGTGTCCACTGGCTCTCCTTACAGAAACAAGATTGGTGGGTGCGAAGCATGCTGTTTTTGCTTGCAAGCCATATTTCCCTGGTTATTACTGTCTGACTTGTGTGTATGGTCCAAATAAAGGTAGCTGCTGATCAAAAAAAAAAAAAAGAATGAAAGTGAACCCTTATCACAGCCACACACAAAATTCAACTTTAAACAGATTAAGAACTGAAGCCTAAGAACAAAGACTAAAACCACTAGAGAAAATATCTGGGGGTCACAGAGCATAGGAAGAGAAACTATGCATTGGTCTGGACAATGGTTTTGTTGTTTTTTTTTCCTTAACCCCCAAAGTAAATACAGGAAAAGCAAAAGGGACAAATGAAACAACATGGAACCAAAAAGCTTCTATCCATCAAAGTAAACAACTAACACTGTATAGAGACAACCTCTAGATGGGAAGAAAGTATTTATGCCATACACCTGATAGGCGATAGGCTTGTCCCTAAAATACATGAGGAGATGCTCAAGCAACTCAATAGCAAGGAAAAAGAAAATCAGAACAGTTAAAATATGTATATATCAAGGACCCAAATGGACAGTTCACAGAATAAGACATACAAATGGTCAACGGGGGGTGGGGGGGTGGGGAGTGCTTCAATTCCTAATCACTAGAGAAATGCAAGTTTCCAGTCAGGATAACTGTTATCAAAGATTAAAAGAGTAAGTGTTTGGTAAGGGTGTAGAGAAGAGGGACCCTCCCTCTGCTTTGTGCAGGGATGTGAATTAAACACTAGTAAAATCCATGGAAGTTCATCAAATCTAAGTTATCATGCAATACACTCTCCGTTCTGAGGATTTGCTCAGATTTTCAGGTAGTAAGAGATGCCTGCAGCTTCTATGAAGATGGAGTACATGCTTGTGAGAGATTACAATCTGATTTTAAGGGATGGGAATACTGTCATGTATCAGAGGATGGGGAACTGGAGATCATGTAAGGCAGGGTAAAAGCAAACACAAAAAAGGCAAATGCAGTCGCTCTCCTGTGGGACCCAGCAAGCTGAACTCACAGACTTGGGAGCAGAAGGATGGCTACAGAGTCTGGGGTGGGGGTGGGGGGGGGTGTTTGCCAAATGGCATAAATTTTCAGGCAGAAAGAGCAGGGTTTTTGTTTCTTTGTTTATTTTTCTATTGTCCAGCATGGTAAATATAGTTAATTATTGTAAACTACAAATTGCAAAGAGGAAATTTCAAACTTGTTCATTACAAAAAGATATTTGAAGTTAAAGACAATAATAACTGACTTAATTTTATTATTCCATATTGCATTCATAAACTATGGCATTACTTGCTGCCACTTAAAGTCATATCATTATAATTTGTTAATTTATAGCTTAAAAAGTATAAACAGTATAGGAATGCATTCAGTAAATAAAATATTTCTGTTTTTACTTGGATTCGTTCTAGTTATCATTAGAATTGAATTCTTTTTGTGCTTCTGCCCCATCTTAAAGATTTTAATAATTATATATAAATGTTTGTGTATGAATATGGGTATGTACACTTGGATATAAGAAGAGGGCATCAGATCTCCTGGACCTGGAATTACAGGTAGTTCTGAGCAGCCAGGTATGAGTACTATAAAGCAAAACCCACATCTTCTGCAAGAACAAGTCTTCTTAACATTACACTGAGCCATTTTTCCAGCCCCCACTTCTCTTTTCTTAAAGAATTTCCTCTTGACGTGTTCTTTGCTTACTTTTCCTTTTGACTACTTAGCTTTTTTTTTTTTTAAGTAATTTTTACATTATGGACATCTATTCTGTGCCTTTTAAAATATATTGCAAACATCTTTTAGACTGAGTTAGCTCTTTACGCTGTCTTTGTTGTACAAATTTTTTACATTTTGTATTATCGTATCTCTCGGTCATTTGTTTCCTTGCTTCTAGATTTTGTGATTCACTTAAGAACACACAGCCCTCCTCCATCCAGCACACAGCATAAACACATGCCATGCTACAAAAGTGGTTGGAGGTCCTTAGTAGTGTTGCCATTTTTGCAGTGTATATGTGTTTAACATTTTTTAAACTTTCATTAGGGGTAGGGATTTAACCTTTAATCCTAAAATATGTGACTAGCAATCTTGAAATTGTTTTTAAATGATTTAGTCTTTTCTTTTATAGATTTCAAATAGCATGTGTCATGGTTTTACATACCCATCATAACTTTTCTATTTTATAAGCTTTTTTTTTTTTTTTTTTTTAATGTCATATTGAACATCTACACTTATGGTGACTCAACTCTCTAAAAATTTTAGGCTGTTCTTTCAAATTTTTCTTTTTCAGTGAGCTTGATAATCAGCTTGTCAAGTTTGACTAAATCTCGTTGGCAGAGAGGTTTTCACTGAAACAGTTAGTGTGGACACTGAGAGAAAAGCAGCACTTTGTTACTGAGATATGTTCAGATTTTCTAGAAGACAGTGTGGCAGGGTCCGTGAAGACTTCTTTAAATATACCTTTGTCTTAGAGTTTTCATTGCTGTGATACAGTACCCTGACCAAAAGAGACTATTTCACCTTGCAACTTTGAGGTCACATTCCAGCAGTGAGGGAAAGTCAGGACAGGAATTCAAGGCAGAAACCCGGAGGCAGGAGCTGATGCAAAGGAGTGCTGCTTTGCTTATGGCTTGCTCCTTGTGATTTGCTCAGCTTTTCATTTACTCTCTTCCTCCCTCCCTCCTCCTTTTTTTTTTTTTGGTTTTCAAGACAGGGTTTCTCTGTATTGCTTTGGAGCCTGTCCTGCATCCCATTCTGTAGACCAGGCTGACCTCAAACTCCAAGGATCTGCCTGCCTCTGCGTCCTGAGTGCTGCCACTGCCCAGCTCAGCTAGCTTTCTTATCCCAACCAGGATCACATGTCCAGAGATGGCTCTGCCCAGAGTAAGCCTGGTCTTCCTACAGCCATCATTAGTTAAGAAAATGTCTTACAGACTTGCCTATGGGCCAGTCCTATGGAGGCATTTTCTCCATTAAGATTCCTTCTTCCAAGATGATATGACCTAGTATCAAGTAGACATAAAGACTACCCAACAAAATTGACCCCTTGTCAACTTGACAAACATATTACTTACTAAACCATAACCATTCCTTTCTTGTTGTTGTCCCCAAGGTGTCAATATTAATATTGCAAATAAAATATTAAAACTTTTAAAGGCCCCACAGTCTTTAAAAATTCAAACATTATGTAAAAGTTGAGTCTTGTTAAAATATCCAGTGTCACCAGGTGTGGTGGCACACGCCTTTAATTCTAGCACTCCAGAGGCAGAGGCAGGTAGAGCTCTGTGAGCTCGAGGCCAGCTTGGTCTACAGAGGGAGTTCCAGGACAGCCAAGGCTACACAGAGAAACCAGCATCTCCCCAAAATTTCAAAGTCACTATAAAATTTCAAAGTCTTTAACCGTGAGCTCCTTTAAAATCAAAACATAAGTTAGATACTTTTATTCTAGAGGGAAGAACCAGGATACAGTTATAATCAAATCAAAGCAAAACCAAAATTCAACAGCATAAAGAGTTCAGTGTTTTACATCTGGAGCCACTCATAATCCTCTGGGCTCAAAGGCCTTGGGGCTTCTCCATTTCTCTAGTTCTGACACTAATCATACACACAGCTTGACTCTTAGGCTCAGGCTGGCTGTACCCACAGCTGCTGCTGTCTGTGATAGTTGTCCCATGGTACTGATATCTCCAAATTGTTGGGGTCCTCTGCTGCACCTGGGCAGTACCATATTAGTAGCATGGGTTCTCTTCAGGGACTCTGACCCTGCTACATGGTGCCAAGTCTCAGCTTCTTTCAATGAATCCCTTCGATCCTGGGACATCTACTACAACTGAGGCCACACCTTCACCAGCAGCCTCTTGCTCTACCCTCTCGTAGTTCCAAACCTCAGCTGCTCTTTGCGACCCTCATACCTGGTTGACACATTACCAAGTTTGGCCGCCAAATGAGATGTGGCCTCATTCCTCTCTAGATCACAGCTTCTGTGTGCTGATCCTGAAGAGAAATACCTCCCGATATACCATTTTTAGTAATGCAAGTCTGCAAGTCTCTTCTTAATTACTGTTCATCTCTCAGCTCTACTCAACCATAATCAATTGTCCCAGTAAAGCAAAGGTTTTACCTTAGTGGTTCTGGTTGTGCTCACTCTCTCTCTCTCCCTCCCTCCCTCCCTCCCTCTCTCTTCCCCCTCCCCCCTCTTTCCTTCCCTTGTCTTCTCCCTCCTTTTTTTTTTTTTTCCAAGACAGGGTTTCTCTGTTTCACAGAACTGGCTGGTCTCAAACTCAGAGAGATCCCACCTGCATTCGCCTCCTCCCGAGTGCTGAAATTAAAGGTGTGTGCTAAGGCTCAGTTCTGGTTTCCAGCTGACCAGAATCATGGATTCTTAATTCAGTACCTAACAACCTTGTTCACATCTTTAAGGACTCACACTTGCCTCTGAAACGGCACAAGCCAGGTCCTCCATCATCTGCATGGCTCTCAGCACTGTCTTCCAGGTCCTCACAACAGCACTGAGCACTCAGCAGCTTTCTAAGCACCGCCACAGTCCTCCCCGAAA